CCCAAGAAGCAGGAATCTTTTAATTTCGTGGCTGCTGTCACCATCTGCAGTGATTATGGAGCCCAAGAAAGTAAAATCTGTCACTGCCTCCATATTTTTCCCTTCTATTTCCCAGGAGGTGATGGGACCAGTGGCCATGATCTTCGTCTTTTTGATGTTGAGCTTCAGACCGCTTTTGGTGCTCTCCTCCTTCACCCTCATAAGAGGTTCTTTAATTCCTCCTCGCTTTCTGCCATCAGAAGTTACTGTACTAAGGTTTATTTATTTAAAGAATACCAGGGATGTTGTAACTTTCCAGGACTCCCACCCTGAGCTTGGGAATTTTACTTGGGACAAATTGCAACTCTCCCCCCATTCCCTTTTTGGCCAGGAGGTCGAGAAAGTGTAGTAAAGTGACCATTTTCTGAGCGGCCTTCAAGAACCACACCATGATGCTGGGCACATGGCGGAGGAAAGAAGGAGAAGGGAAAGGCTGCCACCCGTCACCCTTCCCTCTGCCTGCAAATCGGTTTCTCCCTTCCTCAGAGTGGCCTTTTGTTTGTTTTCGTCTTCATCATCATAATCACCATCCTCCTCCTGGCACATCGCTTGTTCTGCTCTTTGACAGGCCTTTGGAGGAGGCGAGGGGCCTCTGGCTGCTCAGGGGGTCTTTGCCTGAGAGATGGATTGCCTTTTAATGACCTCCCCCCCCACACACAAAATAACAACAATAATAATAAAACAAGGCCTCCTGAATGTTCCAGGCAAGCTGAGCCCAAAGTTGGGTTAAATCCTGATGAAAGAGGAGGAGGGACTCTTACAGGAAGAAACAGAAGCCATTTAGTTCACGCAGACAACGTTAAAAGGACCAAATCGCTTTGTTCGGTTGGTTTGGTTTTGTTTTTCTAAAAAATAATTCCCATTCCCCCTCCCAAAAAAGACCTCAGTGAGACCCGGAAACTGTCTCTCGTGGGCTGCTCTATCACAGAAGGCTAAGGCGAAGTCTCTGGCTCTGTCGCGAGGGAAGTGACGTCACCGGTCCGCGCCAGGCTCTATGGGCGCGTCTGCGCATGCCCGAGGTGGAGCCAGGGAATGGGGGAAACTGGCTAGGGCTCAGTCGCTCGGGTCAACCAGGGCGGGGGCGGTTATGGGGCGGAGGCGCCCCCTATTTCTCTTTACAGTCATCTTTGAGGCGGGGGGGCTGTGCGAGGGCGTCGCGTTCCTCCAGGACGGAGTGTTTCTTTCTAACCCCCTCCCCTCGCCCTCTTTGGACTACAGTAGGGCCCCCCCGTATCCACGGGGGAGAGGGGTTTCCAAGCCCCCCTCCCCGCGGATGCTGGAAAACACGGATGATAGCGAACGCTGTACATACCGGTAGCAGGAACTCGGGCTCCCTCTAGTGGCCCGTTCTGGTAATTTCTAGACTCCATATTAACCCTCTATTTTTTCTTTTAATATTTTCACACTGTGGATAGACTCCATATTAACCCTCTCATATTTTTTCTTTTAATATTTTCACACTGAGGATAAGTAAGTCAGCAGATACTGATCCCGCAGATAAAGGGCTCTGTTGAACTCACAATTGCCCTGCTAGGTAGGCTAGGGGGGAAGGCGACCCGGCTGGCCAGCCCTAGTTGCTATCGATCCTTCAGCTATGAATGAGGAGGAATGGGAACCCTGAGGTTACCTGGAGGAGGGGAGGGCTTCCCGAGCAGAGGCAGCAAGGAATCTGGGCAACCTTGAGGACTAGCCTCTTTTCTCTGACTTTAGCTTTCTTAAGCGGCCCTAGCCCTCCCATTCAGGCTGAAATGTGCCACCAGCCGCGAGAGGGTAGCCCAACTACTCGCATCATCTCCCCAGCCTCGACATTCTCAAGGGGCGGATGTGTACACGCAGAGCGTCAAACACTCTTTTGCCAAAAGGCAATTAAAAAAAATAACTCACATATTTGCAACTTGAGGACCCTGAACTAATCACATTACTTTCCCCCTTATCCCATGGAGCCTGGCAGGACGGGCACAGAAATATTTTTTGTGCAGCTGCAAAGACTGGTCAGGAGTCGAAGTCACTTGTGAGGCTGCCGCGGGCACCTCCGGGCCCGAAAAGGCAGCAGCAACCTCCGAGGGATGCTCCTGGGGTGGCCTTTAGACAGACGTCTGTTCCTAAACTCACAGGGCTCTTTATTCTACTTTAATTTCATTCATTCGCTTGCTTCTAGATCACCCCTTTGACCAAATGGTCACTCTGGGCAATGTACAATAAAACCATAATCCGAGCATCACACACAAAATAAAACCTATATAACATACAATATGCTATATAGACTAAAACAAAGCTAATTGGTTGGCTGCAGATGTTAAACTCAAAAGGTGGAGCATTTAAAGGTGATGTCTTTTTTATAAAAGCTTGCTGGAAAAGTTAAGGACTTCTTAAAGATCTCCAGGGTGGGAGCTAGACGAATCTCAGGCAGCCGTTCATTCCAAAGCGACGAGGCTCCCAGTGAGAAGACACCGTTCCTTGCGTTGTGCTGATAAGAAGAGGGCACGAGGCATGCTCTTTGAACGCCCAGGAGGAATTTATTGTGAAATAGTAAAAAGCTTGATCCAGAACCAGTGCTTGACCTTTGGAATGATTAAAAAAGAAAACTGGCAGTGGGACTCTGTAGCTATGAAAATTCTCTCTTTGAGAACTGCGGTTGCTGAACCTGAACAGAGCAGAGAGCTGGAAAGCATCTAGTGAGTGACCTGTTGTCCCGTCAAGTCTTCCCTTTGAAGGGCTCAACATTACTTCCTCCAGAATTCTTCCAGGCTACAAAGATGCTCAGGTTTTTGACATGTTGCCATTGTGAATCCGGACAAGCAGGTGTCGGGTAGAATGCATGTGCTGGAGCAGGAGGAGGACTTGGGCCATCTGGCCCCTCCACCCCCACTCCCACCCCAGAGGCTGAAAACAGGCTTTAAGACGAATTTGGGGAGGGGTGCTGGGGGTTGCATTTGGGCCCCCGGAGGCCCCTTGCTGCCCTTTCTTGCCTTAAATCCACCAGACTGTTGGATCCGCCAGGAGTTCATTTGCACGAGACCTCGTTCCAGACAAGACAAAACTCAAAACCTTAGAGTGCAACACCTGCGGGGCGTCTGTGCAAAGCCAAATTTACTGTGTCTAAATACACTGCCCGTGGAGGCTGGTTCTCAGACAGCTGGAGAAGAACCTATACCTACCTAGGTGCTAAAGCAGACAAATTGGATGTGTCCCTTCTGCCTGATTCCGATGTAGAAAACTTGTACTCAGCCACTGGATATAAGTGGCTGGAAGGTGTCCGGTTACTAAATGCTTCCTTTCCCCTCCAAGACTTGGGGGGGGGCCTGCAAGGGCCCGTAGGCTGTTCCGCCTGGCCCATTTGCCCACCAAGCAAGAGCACCGTGTTCATTGCCTGGCTGGGCAGAGGGTTAAGTAACGCAGAGAGTTACCTAAAACAGACTTCACAGGATAAGCTATTTTTGGCTAAGCAGCTTGCTATGCTAAACACACTGGTCTCTTTATGCCCTTCTTTGACCTCCTCTTGCAGCTCCCCTCCCTATAATCTGTCTCAGCTAACACATCGGCTCGGAGAGCATGAGCCAGAGAGAAGTATTTCTGAGGTTGCCGGCTGGTGTAACAGCATGGGTGCATACGGCAAAACGTTGGGAGAGCGCACAAGGCATCAAGAATGAGACTCAGCCAAATGTAATTTCAACAGCAGGCCCGTCGGTCTAGCAGAAACGAGTCACGTGGCTGAAACTGCAACAGCAATCCAACTTGCTTTCACAATAAATAAAGTATTTTTTTTATAATAGGTGTGCCAGGAAAGGTCTTGGAAAGAGCTTTAGAACTTGCATAGTCGTTATCAAGATCTGCTAATTTAAAAATGTTTATTGCTGATAAACATCTTAAAATCTTCCCTAGTTTACAAACTGAACGAAAATTCCATTGTTAGGAATACAACAATATTCTGTTCCTGGAAAAAAAAACACAATATATCAAACATATTTGTTCTTACTTGAACATGTACACCTCTAAGTAATAGATCTATACCATTATTTCAACTATAATAGTCTTTGTAATAATAGATCTCTATCATTAATACTTTATTCCAGCTATCAAAATTTCAATTTCTTCAGTTGCTCTCACTAGTGCTTTTAAAAAATCAACATCACACCAGTTATTACAGACTTCTTTCCACTAATGTGCTTCCTCTGATTTTTTAAATCTTAAAATACAAATTCCCGCTTCTATGAAGTGTTGGGATTCTGCATCTGTTTAAGATGTGCAAATACTTCCATTCACTCGCAAACACGGACAAGCCCCGTTTCTCTCCTCCATCATCTGTGCCCACCAAAACATTCAGACAGCTACTATGCACCACAGAGTTATGTGTTAGAAATGTTTGGCCTCTGGTTGCAAAGATCTTATTTTTCTTGCTATACTTTTATTGATGGCTCCTGTCATGCTGCTTTAGCGCAGTCTAATTGCAGATCTGCCGGTCTTAGCAGATGTCTGCCGCTACTGTTTTTGTTCCTGCACTTTGCACATGCACATGCACCTTACAGCCAGGCTTGCTTGTGCTAGGAAATGATTCTGCCTCCAGGAACGCCTGCTCGCAAGGCTGCTAAAGAGATGGTTGTATCCATCGATGATCTCACCTGTGCTTATACAACTCTTCCAAGATTTTTGTTATCATCGTCAAATGAAGACCTCAAAACTGAGCATTTCTTCTAAACGTGAAGGACTTCTCTATTTTTTCCTAAATGGTGAAGATTCTTGTACTCCACCAAGATGATTAAACTTTACATCCACACCTCCAGCCACTGTGTTTGTAACCATTTCCAGGCTGTGTACGTCCTCTACTTGAGTGTGTTCTCCTTTAGTACTCCGATTTAAACCCCTCCAGTAAGACTCTCAAGTTTCGTCCCATCCTTCCCCTAAAAATGGAAGTGGCTGAGGATGATGAGGGCTTTAGGCTGAGGGAAGTGGCTAAGGAAGGCTCTATCTAGAGAAACTCCCTTCTAAACCTTCAGATAAAGGATAAAACAAGTCGGTATGTGTTGGTAGATTTGAGGTAGATCACATCAGCTCATTTAGCTCCATTTTCTTGGGCTGGCTGGGATCTATAGCAGATCAAAAACTTAGAGAGTTATTGTTTAAAAAAGACAGTGTTTCCTTCTGGAGCAAAGCATGGGAAAGAAATATTGATCTTCTAAAACCATAGCTGCGTAGAAATAAGCAACAGGCGTTATCATGTAAAACACATCCTTAATCCCTGATGTGTTCGAAAACCATGTCAAGCTCAAATCTGCAAAAAGAATCTTTGCAATCCATCCCTTCGCTTTGAAAGAGAGAGAGAGAGAGAGACGGGCCATCGATTATGTGGAAGGTGCGGACAAACCAATCCCCTCCAGAGAGCAACCCAGACAGCAAAGCTGACAAGTGGCGACAGATCGAGAGGACCAGAGAAACATTTGTTCTTATGGATGGGAGAGGATCAGCAAATTTCTACTTCACGCCAGGCTACAGGGGGGCAAAATTCAGCCCTCCGTATGCTGCTGGATTGCAGCCTCTGCTCTTCTTCTACCGCGGGTTGTGTTGGTGATGGCTGATGGGAGTACCGGTCATCAATATATCGTGGACTGCACTTGAGACACCCCGAAGCAGATAGATAGAGGGGGTGCATCCGACTTTTAAGAGGTGTGAATCCGATAAGACCATGGCTTGAAATCCTCGAACAAGGTCAGCATTTTATCTGACATGAGATTTGGACGACACCCAAGGGGGCGGTCTACAGTCCACAAGGGCTTCTGCCAAAAAAACACCTTGTTGGTCTTAGAGGTGCCACAAGACTGTCATTTCAGAGAAGAACAGCAGGTTCAAGGCGGGACAGAAAACAGGTTCGGTCTAGTGCAACCCACGTTGAGCTCTTGGGTTCAGCAGGGAAACAAACGCACAGGCCAAGGCGCCCCTGAAAAGCAGGTCTCGAATGATCCCCGTTGCGAAGCCTGGCAGGAAGTCCTCGGTCGTTCCCATGACGAATGACTGAGAAGGGGGAAAGGTGCGTAGTAGCCGCTGCCGCCTGCAAGAACAACCTTCCAGCCAAGCACGTTTAAACCTCTCTGGCAACAACTAGCTAAAAAGGCAAGCACTGACTCAGTGGTATCGGCTCCTGCCCATTGCCCGAGAGAAGAGAGGGTACGGACTTTAGCAAGAATGGGGTAAGATCCCTGAGGCAAGTCTCGGCCAGCCTGGCATGCTCCAGCTGGACCGGACTGCAGCTCCCATCATCCTCAAGAGTCTGCTAGAGCGTGGAACAGGCCGACCTCATTCTTAAGCCAAGACATGGCACAGAAGCTGAGACAAGCAAGTGTGGACCCGCTCCCCAACCGCCTGTGCTTCCCAAGAGCAGGAAAAGCCTCGTTTTCACAAGCAGGACCTTACAAAGCCACGTACAGCGCTCTGCTCTCAGTGGACGGTGGAGGGAAAGCCCTGCCCGTCGTTGCTGGCCTGCCAGGCGGCCTGTCGCAAGCATGGGGAAGTTAGCAGGGAAAAAGAACGGCAGGAAGGACGAGGTCTTCCTAACGGCAGCAACAGAGTGTTAATGCCCACAAGAGGCACATCAGCTCACGGAAGGGCCGGAGGGTGTACCTGTTTTCCTGGGCTGGGGAAGGGCGACAGGGAGAGGGTTCCACCCCTTCAGAGTTCTTCATCCGCAAAACCAGGACGAGTAAGGGAGAAGTCAAGCGGGCCAGGATGAACCCCTTTACTCTGGAAGCCCTAGCAGCAGAGGGAGGGGACTGACTCTTACTCACACGCATGTTCTCGCCCTGCTGAGAGCCAGGCCTCCGGCACCGTGGGATCCCAGAGGCATCTGGTGGGGCCACCGCGAGACAGGAAGCTGGACTCAAGGGGCCCTGGGCCTGATCCAGCACAGGGCTCTTCTTCTGAGGTTCTTATGTTCTATGCAGTGGGACCCGGTCCTTCTCCCCAACCTTCCAGCAGCCTTTGTGTCTGGCAGTAGCAGCTGCTGCTTCAACCGGGGAGCTTCAACCGCGGAGCTCCAGTTGTGGAGCCAGCAGGGAAGCTTCCGAAAAACGTGGACGTTTCTCTGGCTGAACAGGAGCCGCAGAGAACACTGACATTTGCAGGATTGCATTTCTCCGCGCAAAGAGAAGCTCACATCCTGCGCCTAAGGAAGCTGCAGGCGGCACTGACCAGGGAGGAACTCCAAAGGACCCTTGCCAAGGGGAGTACGGTATCCCCTCTCGGCTCAACCCCTGAACTATCCAGCATTAACAGCGTCGGACCTTTTTATTTCAGTCGCCTTGACATAAAAGCTACTACAATCATCTACATAGCGCACCCCCCCCCACCAGCAACACCATACACAGCTCTCCGGGTCACAAGACATTGGCAGGACAACCCCTTTCTGTTTTAAAGCTTAATATTAAATATTAAATACTCTCACGTTAGGCAGACATTACTTTGTCGAAAGACAAAAACTTCAGTGACACGACCCTCGGCATCCTCGGTTCTGAGTTGCCATCGCCTTATCGGAACCGACTCGCCTCCTACGGATATGAAGGAAATATGGGCCAACGGATGGGTCACACACACAGGTGGGACGTCCCCTCGGGTGTAGGCAGGTGGACGGGGGGGATGTCTGCAGCATCAAAGAGCAGGGAACAGGCCCCCATTATATTTTGAATAAGTGCCAAAATTGCTCCAGCACCCAGAAAATTCCAATATAATTCCTAAAAAGTCCCATTCTTTTTGCCAAAAGAAGAGAGAGAAAAGTCTGCTGGCTAGAGGCACTTCTGCCTGGTGGACACCGTTGGCAACCCCCCTGCCCCCCCCCCCGCACCCAACCCAGCCCAGTTCTCCTGAGAGAAGAGGAGCCAGAAATGGATTGTGGCCAGACTCTTCTACGTTTCTTGTACTATTTTTGTTTCCTTAAAAATGTTCAGTCGTCTTCTGATTTTAGCAAAGAAGTCACTCTAAAAAGCACTTGGGAAGCTTTGTACTAAAGTCTTCTGCAGTTCTCAGAGAAGCGAGTCATCCGTACACCCTCCTTCCAGTCCGTAGCGGAATTCCTGCAAATTGGAGACTCCGTAGAAGTGAACGAAGGCGGCCGCCACCACCAGCACGTGGAAGATCTGGTGCGACTGGAACTGTGGGGAGGCAAGGAGACCGTTAGCGGTGGTATGGGACACGGCAGGCGCTCCTCGTGCTCAGGGCATCCGAAAGAGCCCCCCCCCCCAAGGGTCAGGAGGATGCTTCTGCCTGGGTGCGCAGAGGAAATGCACCGTATCTTTCCAATCCACAGGTCGAGAGGACAGTACATGAATTTAAAAGATGGGAAAGGCATCTCCCCATCACTGAGGAGCAACACTTTTACATGGGGAATTTCGGGAGAACAGAATTGGTCTAGAATTGATCTGCCCCTTTGAACGGCTTCTCCGTCATACTCAGAGGACAATTTGCTTAGTACTATAACCACAAAGATTTAGTCACGGCACCATAAGCTCAAACCGTCATGCTCTGGGCTGGCACCGTTGAGTCCCCCAGAGTTACGTTCTGTAGCAGAATCCATTCAGAACTAGACCCGAAATACAGACGGTTCTCCAACACTGATACCTAAACAGCTATAATTCATTTCCGTAAAGGTCAACCACTTGTGTTTTTTTAAAAAAGAACAAAACACATTCTGGGCAACAAATATACAACCAAATCTACTATTCTGTGCCACCAGAGAGCTTGTTTTGTCCCAGACTAAATTCCTACATAACTTGTGCACTAGGAGGAGATTTTTTTTAAAAAAAAACATTTGTTTGTTTGTACTGACTCAGGAAGGTTAACAGGGACCTACTGGCAGTCATTGTCCAGGAAGCCCCGACAAGTGCAGAAGAATTTAAAAGCCATTATTTTCCTCACCACACATTATAGAATCGTATACTGAGTCTTGAAAAATATCTCTGCCAGTCACTGTAAGTAAAAGACACACCAAAGCTCCATAGCTTGACCGCTCTGTGGCAATCTGGTTCCGATGGACTTTGCCTGGCGGTCTGTTTTTCTCATGAGTAAGTTTTGGGTGGCCAACGGCACAGGCCCAGAAACTACCCCAACGCTTTGGCAAAGGGTGCCAGCGGGATTCCCGGGCAGGCCGGGCCCCTACAAGGTCTCCTCAGACCAAACCCCGCCAAGTCGGCGGCAGCCACGTCCTTTCAAAGCTCCTCTCTGCACCCTGGCGAAGGGCAGCATTCACGGCTCTCTGCACAAGGGGGTGGTGGTGTCGTGACTGAGCGGATGCCCGGAGCAACATCTCAGCCCTCCTCTGCCTCTCTCTGCTTCAGGTTAAGGAGAAGGGTCTCCGGACTGTCCGTCCCGCCAGGGCGTGCTGTGACTGAGAGGGACAGAGCAGCCCACCGGCATGCTCCGAAGGCTTGTACTTGAACCCTCCTGTTCTGTTTCTGCAACGCAGATCCTGTGGAACAAGGAGGAGGGACCTTCCATGTGTGTGTTGCCGTTTGCCGAATTGGTCATGTCTCCCTACCAGATCTCACCTGTGGCAGGAGCCACCAACAGAACACAGTACACCTCTAGAGCAGTGGTGGCGAACCCTTTTTGGGCTCACATGCCCAAAGGGGTGTGTGTGAAGCCAATACCCAGCAGGTGGCATGCTATGGTGGAACTGGAAGTGGCTGTGGCAGAAGGGGGAATCCTGGGCATGGCGGTGCCTCAAGACCCCACTCCGGATCCGCTGCCAGTGCCAGCTGCTCTGGACTCGCCTGTTGAAGCGCCAGTACCAACACTCAGGTTTGGCTGCACGGGGGAGGGGAGGGGAGTAGCAATCCGGCGACTTATATGGTTGCATGCCAGCTCTGGCACACGTGCCATAGGTTCGCCATCGCTGCCCTAGAGGCTGCTGCTGCTGCTGCTGCTGCTGCTGCTACCCTTACACACTCGGATGGCTGACTCTGACCCACCCCCATCTCCAATCCACACCACTGGCTTGGCTACCTTTGGAACGGTCCCTGAGACAGCAGCCGATGACAGTCACTCACCCAGATGTCAAACTTGCCAGGAAAGAAGCGCTCCGGGATGCGGGCAGCATACAACCCGGCTCCCGTGATGTACATGACCGCCATGAGGAAAAACCAGCCCATCTGGCCAACGGTGGTGGCTTTGACAAACCCTTCCGCTATGGTGAAATGCATGGTGGGCACGACGCCACTCAGCCCCAGTCCGAGAAACACCCCTAGGAAAGAAAGCAAGGCAGAGGTCTTCGTCACGATATGGAAACCAGGGGTCGGAAAGAAGCCAGTCCCTCCGCAGAAACCGAGAGAAGCCAGCCAGACGCCCAAGGCTTTGGAAGTATTTTTTTTTCCCCACTCAAGGGAGGCAGTGGCTGAGCAGGGTGGGGAAGATGGGTCATATTCTAAGCTGCCTTTTCAGGAGGAACCCAAGACCCAGGCAACCTTAATCTAAAAAAACTACATTTACGTATCTGACTTTTGCCCCTACACCTTCCGAATGTGTGCAAAAAGAAACTCAAAGGAAAGCACAGTGGAAGCTACTCACATCCATGGACTTAATCTTACATTCCAACAGGTTTAGCACATTATTTATTTGTTTAAAATATTTCTACTCTGGCTTTCTCCTGAAAAGAAAAATACGACCCACACTGACTCAACTACAGAAGCCTGAGAATCTAAGCCACCAGGAGCAGGGGGTGTCTTTGGGGATCAGCGTGTGGGTCCAACGTATTCTCTTCCAGAGGCCTGAAGTGCCCAAATTTTAAAAGCCACAAAGAACTTAAAATCTTATGTTGCCAAGTTACCGTCCGTTCTGCTTGGTCACCCTGATCGTCCGCTCTGCGTGCTTTTTAAGGAAATTCTCAGACATCTTTTTCAGAGGAATATTTTTAACAGAAATCTTAAGAGATGGGGAAAAATAAAACCCTTCATAGCCAGACCACTTTTACAAAAGGAGCGCCAGCCTCTGCAACGGGTCCAAACTAGAGTTCATGTCATTTAAAGGCCAGGCACTGGGGTTGTGTGGATTTGGCCCCCATCCACAGAAGGGGCTCCTACCTGCTCTGGTTTGCCTGTGCTTCGGTGTCGCAAATCGGTCCCACTGAGCCACAATGATTGCTGAGATACCCAGCACACATACAATGGAGAGGTAGATAAGGCGAGGCTGTGGTGAACAGTAAAAGGAGTAGTACAGCCATGGGACAAAGCTCCCCATGATCAGCAGCGCAATTCCAGAGTAATCTAACCTGGGAAGCAAAAAGTAAGGAGAAAGAAAGAAAGAGAGAGAGAGAGAGAGAAAGAGAGAGGGAGGGAGCTCAGATCAAGGTGAAGAGCATGTTTGGTTTTGAGAGAGAAGCTAAGCCATCCATAAAGAAGACTGGGCGTTTTCGACAAGAGGACTGGTTATAGGTTTGAGTACACTGGCACTCAAGCAGGAGTGCTGTAAAAGAGAATCCACTGTAAATATAATCAAACTCCAAAGTCTAAATTTACTTTTGGATTTACAAGAAAAAAGGCTGGCAGGGAGATTTAGGTATGTATTATTGAGGTATGACCAGTCCTGTGCTGCATATGGCAGAACTTAGCCTTCCATGTCCTTCTTGAACAGCTTTTTAAATTTCAGTCTCATTTAGGCAAAAAAACTTTGCAGGTTAGCACCGCAGGCTGCGCTAGAGTAGTTGCGCAAGACATTAAGGCTATTTAGAGCTTCTGATCCTTTCTCTGCTTTCAATAAACTATGTATGTGTTTTAAAAAATTGCCACACAATTACCTGCATTTCAAAGAGAAATACACCACCAAAAAAACCCCACATTTCTTTCTTATTCAAGGAACTACCAAATGGCCATCTGAAAACCTTTGCTAGGCCCAGCAGTTCATAATAAAATGAATTCTAGTAAGCTCTGTCCTATGAACAACTGCAGTGAGGGCTTCCATATACAGTCTTTAAAAGCAGGGTAACTAGATAAAACCTGCTAATCCAGTATCAGGTAACACACTGAAACTTTGCTAAAAGACATCATCACATGATAAGATGGAATCTCTGTGGGAAAAGAGTTGCTTCTTGACGAATCTGTATTGTTTAAAAAAACAAAAAACAGCAACAACACTTACTTGGAAAATGTCCGAGAAACCTTTTCCGAATGACAGTAGACGGTATGGAAAAGCCAGGAAAAGCTAAGACACAGGACAGCTCCCAGGAAAAACATCCCAAACACGACTTTTTCCTGAAGAGGGGCCATGAAGTACATATTCGGCCTGAGCATGGTCAGGATCCCCAGGCAAAGAAATAATACAAAACCTGCAACGGGGATACAGCAGAGAGAGAGACCCATCAGCCCCATTTAACCACAGGGGCCAGGAAGGAACCTGCACTGTTGCTGCCACAGAAGCCTTAAAAACATTCAGTACAGTCAAAGCGCCCGAACCCCTGCTTCCCTCCCTCCCTTGTTACTGGGGATGGGAATCTCACAGCCTTCCCTTTGAGAAAGCCGGGAAATCCCACTGCTGGGGGGGGGGAGTCAAGTAAGGAATCCAGCCTCATTTAACCACAGGGCCCAGGAAGGAACCTGCACCGTTGCTGCCACAGAAGCCTTAAAAACATTCAGTACAGTCAAAGCGCCCGAACCCCTGCTTCCCTCCCTCCCTTGTTACTGGGGATGGGAATCTCACAGCCTTCCCTTTGAGAAAGCCGGGAAATCCCACTGCTGGGGGGGGGGAGTCAAGTAAGGAATCTTGCAGGGTGGATTGATTTAAATCCAATTGATTCAAATCACATTTTTTTTTAAAAAAATCAGTTTTCAAAATTTAAATTGTGATTTGAAACAAACTGATTTAAAAAAAATATCATTGATTTTTATCCCCTCCGGGAATCTCGGCACAAAGAGGTTCAGAAAACAGCCAAGAACTGAAAATATTTGAGTATTTTACAAGATAGCAGGAGGCAAAAAAAGAGAGGTGTTCATAAATTATTGGTGTAATGCAAATAAAGCTTTGGCTCTAGAACGCACTTGCGACCAGAGGAAGGAAGTAAAGTTCCCGGAACAACCTGCTCGGCTGCTTCACAAAACAGGCTCCCGTCTGAAACGGGAGGGAGACACTTGTTTCATCTACCAGCTTTGTGAGTAGCAATTAAAAATACTGCTTTCACCTACTATCTTAAGAAGCTCACGTCCAAGCTGACAGAAAGTATTATGCAATGCAGCTCAACCCTCTTTGCTTTTATGGATTCAAAACAGGGTCAACATGTTACAGAAAAGCCACTGGAGCCTGTTCTTGGGGGGGGGGGCAGTTTGACTGAAAGAGACACATTAGCCATACCCAGTTACTTCCTACAATTCTGTATCCTTAACCCTATAAGCTATAGTTGCTGCCTGCCCGTGTTGGCAACACTAGAGGGACCAAGGGCCTCACTCCATGTACGTAAACCAGTGCCCTGGTTTCCTACAAAGGTACAGGAATTAGAAAAGCTCTCTAGACTCTTGTGTTTCATTTTGAAACTACTCCAGTATGACAAGTTGTGCCTCCCTTCGCAAGGGGTCTCCTCTGTTATTACCAGCGTGAGTCACCTCAAGCAGCTAACAAATATTATGATAACATCTTAAGTCGCCGGCACCTGCATGAAAGCGACGGGCATTCCTGGGCGAGCGGCGGCTGTCTTATCTTCGGACTCCCTCGGGCATGTTCCCAAGACAGCCGGAGCTCTCGTCCTGTAGTATGATCAGGGTCTCCACAGAGGAGGCCACGTCATAAATCACTTTCTGATGCCAGGCTAACTCTTTGGTACAGGGATGACTTAACTCAGAATCCTTTTGGTCCAGTTATGTGGGAAATCTGGTGTGATGTGGGAGACGAGCGCTGGACTAGGACTCAGGAGATGGGCTCAAATCGCTGCACACCCATGGAAACACCTTTGGGGTGGTGGTGGTGGCGGCGACCATTCCTTGGACACCTGACCTGTCTCAAAAACCCTATTAGGGTCACTGTAAGTCAAACTGACTTGATAGGGGCAAAATCACCACCAGCAACAAGGCAATGGGATTACCTCGTTTTCCTCAACCTGCTGCCCTTCAGGCATGAGGGAATACCTTCTGCTTCCCAATCAGGTCACCCGAGTCTAGCTGGTCATTTCTCTGAAATATTTCTATCCCACCTTCCCCCACAGCAATCACCTTCTCTTCGTCTGATCTAACTTACAGCGTTGTTGGGAAGGAAGATAGCTGCGTCTGCTACTCTAAGCCCAACAGCTGAAAGGTCCCCCACGGGGACTCTATGGGGCAGAAGGCTTGGGTGCTGCAACCACCAAGATTTGGTCTCTTGACCTTCCAGGACGGGTCATCCACCAAAGTGACCAAGGCCAGCTCAGTTCTGAAAGGGAGCATGAAGCGAAGCAGGAAAGTTTCCAAATGATCACCTGCTTCTAAGGGCAATCACTACCTGCTCAAATATCATTTTTCAAGATGGCACCTATTCGGCTAATTAGCCATTTCATGCTGCTGTTAATTTTAACTAGGGGATGAGACAATTGCAACTAACGCTGTGGCGACGAGATGCGGCGGGACAGGAAACGTGTTGCCTTTCACCACTTCTTGAAAGCCAATGGGCCTGCCTATGGGTTAGCCAGAAGCCTTCCAAATCCCTGAAACAAGCCAGTGTTCATTAAGGCTGACAGACGTGATAAGGAAATGAAACATCAGGCACCACAAACATATAATGCTTTCCTAGTCCATCAAAACGATGAGTCAAAAATAGAAGACTGACTAAAGGCTCCAACCAGCCTTGTGAAAACACTGGGTCCTGTGGAAAAAAATGGAGCTCTACCCCTAAGCCCTTGGCCAGCTAAGTGTCTCCGTCAGTATTTCAGTTCATCCGTAGAACTGTGAAGTATAGAAAGGTACAAATCCTTTACATCAAGCCTGCATTCATTTATACCTCTCTACAAAAGTACATTTCTTATATAAATATTGGTTCAAAAATCCAGGGGAAGCATGCACTAAGCAATACATATAAAGGAACTAAGTCTCAACACAGAAGAGAGTTATGTTTATTCTACATTGTTATCCTCCATCATCTGTACTGCACGCCAGAGACAGAAGTCAGCAAACTGAGATATCTCTCAGTGAAAGAAAACACCCAGTGTTCCCCACTCATTTGGATCTGGCGTAGTTCCTTTCAAACTTCAATAAAGTCAGCCCCAAATTCAGAGAAAACAGCACCCACTTCCAAAACAAATACGGCTGGAAAATATCGCGTTCCTTGCAATTTCCATGCCCACCTCTAAAAGCATCTCCACTGTGGCCAATGCTGGTGCTGTAAGGAAAGAGGAAGTAAAGACTTCTCATTGATAAATGAGAAACCAGAGACAATTACCAAGTAAATGCGTCCAGATGTTGCCTGTCTCTGTGTGTATGCGGAAAATGCTCTTGAAGCAGGCTCTGAAAGAGGGCATGGGAGGACGATGGCCGTGCAGCAGGTAGTCATTATCTTTCAGCCAGTCGGGCAGCACATCATAAGGGATGACTCTCCAGCGGCCTTCCCAAACCTGCAATACAGCAAACCACGCAGGCAATTGCAGGCTGGCAGCTTTGTGGAAAGGGCAGTAAGACGCTAAGAAGGAATTGCAATTGGCAATACAGCCACACTTTGCCCCTCACTCTTGGCAACCCTAAAGCCCTGTTGGCATCAAATCAAAACCCTCTCAGATACCCCGTGTTCCAGAAAAGTTAATCTATTAGTATCGCTGGCAAACATTCTCCCACAACCGGCCTTGTGCATCTTCAGCAACCGCCACAGACAGAAACCGTGTAAGCTGAGGCACTGACAGCCATCTGAGCCTCGAAATTCAAGGAGTTGGAATATTAATGCTTCTGATCTAAAAATGGCGTTCCAACACACAGGACGAAGTAAGTCTGAAACCTCAAAGACGTATCTGGCATGTGAAAGGGAGAAACAGCAACAACCTTTTCCAGCCTCTGCGTCTCTGAAAAACGGACAAACCACCAACCAGCACTGAGTTTCCTCCACCTCCAATGGCAAGCCATTATTTTATTCTTAAACCACTGCTTTATTAAGTTTGTTGGTGCTCTGGATGTGGCACCCTGCACAAACTTAAGATGTCCAAACTTAAGATGTCGTATGTGCATCTTACTTATGCAATGTACCCAGAATCCATTTGGGCTCTGAATGGGACAGAACGGCAGCTGAAACCACAAAGACCAGTTGAGACTCGGCAGTGCAAACCTCTTTACCTTATACACAAATTCTTCCATTTTCTCCATTGCATGATGTGCCTGCAAAGGGAGCGTCAATACTCTCACTTCCTCCTCCTCTTCTTCCGTGCTGGGCATGGCTGGGGATGGCTGGTCTTGAACCTAAAAAAAGGACTTTTATAAGCCTGGACACAGAGCGAGGGGGAGCCCTGGAAAACTGGATTCAAGGGCACACCTGGGTCAAACGTGCAAATTAAGCATGTTTATGAAAAAGGGGTTCAAGGAAAGGGAGGAGCCAGAAGCGGAGTTCAAAGTTGTACAATGGGGGGTGTGTGTGAAGAGGAAGGTTTGTCCCAGACCTACGTGGTAGATGCCCTTACAAAGGAGGAGCATAAGATTTCCAGGAGTTTTCTTCAACCTGCAGGTTTTGCATAGAGAAGTAGAAAAGGCTGGCGGATACATCCTGGTAAGCAAGGTAAAGGAGAGAACTCAACCACTACAGGCCTAAATTCACTCCAAGGGATTCCCTTAGCAAGAGAGTCTGTACATGCAGGGGAACGGTCAAGCTCCATGGAGCGGTAATCCCAGATTTACTTGAATTCAGAGAAAGGATTAGAGTAAAGGCTTTTCCTCTTACAACTAAGAGGGCAAACCAAATTGGCCATGCTATTTCTCTTCCTGGCTGGGGCCCAAGAAAAACTAGCAGCCAGCCAAAACAGTAAAAAGGACAGACTCTCCACTTCCCACAACTGCGGCTTGGAGGCAGAATTCACATTCACCGTTTCAAAGCCCTAACCGGAGAGGTTTTCCCAGCGCGATGCAGAAGGCAAACGAGTTCAGAGCTGGAGGGAGAAAGTGATACGCCTCGGGGAAGGGAAACCTGTTTGCACTGCGCTGCATAAGAGAGTTCAGCAGGATGGCCCCCAAGAACAAGCCAGCGCTATTGCACTCTCAGGCGGCTGCTTCCAAAACAACTGTGGACTCAGTATACTCCAGCGGCAGGAAAATGCCACAGGACTTTCTTTTGAGTTGCCGCCATGTAAACGAAACAGCCTGCGCAGCTCCATTGTTGAGTGTCCATGAACAGGAAAGGGCTGGGCTTGGATCAGGACCAGTTGTGTTTAAATCCCTACCCAACCGTAAAGGCCACAGAACAATTCTATGTCTGCTGCTCTCAACCCGGACTCTTAAGGTTGTTGTTGGAACTTTTAAAAGGGCAAAATCCATTTACATTGTGAAAATGCAAAGGTAGCAACTTGGAAGCTATGTCATGCGGGAGGTCAAACGCTGGGACAGAAATGTTGCAGACAGCCATTAATGCCGCCCTTTGTCTCATGAGAGGTATTTTGAGGGCAAAACACAGAAATTTTGTTCAGGAGCAACGAACCTAGATTACAAGCTGCCTCGAGTGCTACTTTATAGCAGAAGGGCACATCAATGTAGTTGAGTGTAATTAAGAATAAGAATAGTTATTTGAGATAGGGACTAAGGAGAACACTAGTGAGAATGAAGGTCAACTCTAAAGATGGAAGAGGCTCCTCCTCCTGTGGACACTATTACAGCCGCAAAGCTGTTAATAAGATTCTCCACTCTCTATCTACGGCGACGCTACAAGGATGTGACAACCACCTTAACCTAGAGACTTAACATGGGGGAAAAATATCTTCAGGATAAATTTGGGGAGACCTAATCCCACTGCAAATCCAGAGGCATCTCCTTGCGACAAGGAGGTCTCCGTTAGCCTCTGCCGATTTTGCACCGGCGAGCAACCCGTTTGCAAACCTTAAATTCAGTCCCATCGCTCGGCTTTCACAGGCACAGACTTTTACACCGGGTGCAAAATGGCTTACGCTTGCTGAGCTGGTAGAGGGTTGTTCCCCTTTCTCCTCTAAGAGGGGTCCCAGCTCCGCCAGCTCCACGTCTTCCCTCTCTCTGACGTTACTCGAAGGCCCATTTCCTTGGCTGGTGACCGACCCTTTTCGGGATGACATCTGGCAAGCACAGGCGCTCCGTCTTCTGCTTCGCTGACACAGGCAAGGCGGTGGGGCTCCGTTGCACCCCTAAATTTTCACTAGGAAGAAGAACAGGTTATTTTGCAGGCCTTTCTGCGTCTAAGGATTTCTCTCTTTTTTTGGTCCCCACAGAAACATGGTTTTCTTCTTTTTTGGTTGGGGGGGGGAGACAATGAAACAGTCCCAAAAGAGTGAACTCTTAGCTGATTAATTTAAGGCGTTTTAGTAAATGAAATCTGCTTAGCTGGTGTGTGTGTTTTACAAGAAAAAGTTGTTTTTTGCCAAAGTACATGTACTGCTCATGTTCCTGAGTCATATTCTGATGGCAGACTTGCATCCAGGGTGGATTGGATTTGAAACCAATTGATTTAAATCACCATTTAAATACAAATACCCAGGTTTTTAATAATTTAAATTTTAAACATCTTTCTTAAAATTTAAGTCATGATTTAAATGAATCTGATTTTAAAAACTTCATTGATTTTTTATCCAGCCTCCTTGTATCCCCTCCCTATTTTGCACAGATTGTCCAGTTCACCCTATGCACAAAGCATCTTAAAAGATGTATTATCGATGACGAAGACACAGGATCCCTGAGCTTCTTCTATGGCCCCTACAGAAAATAATTGTGCACATTTTGCTTCCCCCCCCCCCCCGACCCTTCATTCCCCTTCATCANNCATTTAAATCATTTAGAGAATTTGAAGTTCAGTTTCTAAGTTAAGCAGACAGTGGGACCTCAGGTCTGAATTGGTAATGGTGATGTCTCATTTTCTACTCTAAAATCTGTGTGGGAATTTCTCTAGCTCATAAGTTGTTTTTCCAAATGGTTAAAATCTTCTGCTAACAGAACGCAGACTCCAAAGGAATCAGTTCCCCCCCCCAAAGAACAAACACTGGGCAGCTCTGATGGAGCAACATGGTCTGCAAATACTTGGCATGTTCCAAGAGAGACTTCAAAGCTATGTGGGTTCAAAGCCATTCATGAGCAGAGGCACTAAAAATCAAAATATGGATTTGGAATCTTACCAAAGTCTATACAGTACTAAAAAGAAAAGAAAAAGAAAAGAAAAAGGATTTTATTTTCTTAAACTAAAGCAATTCAATATGACTCATGGAGACTGGGTGAGGAAAGGAAAGACAAGTGCTCCATATTCAAGGGGTGAGTGGGTGGGAACCAGGGAGTCACAAGACATCAACTGGTCAAAGAGAAAGCCGCAGAAAAAATGACTGAGACTCATCTGAGTGAGAAGAGAAGCTTGCGCACAGGAAGAAGGAGTTGCCAGTTCCTCCCAAACACGGTTCCTCCTGCACCTTCCCAAAAATCTGCTTCAAAGGTTCCACTGACCACCTTGTCATCTTATTCTGGGGCAGGGGGGCTCCCGCTAATTCAGGGGAGAACTCTGCCAACATCAACCAGCCCTTGCCTGGTGCAACCTGAGATTTTATTAGCATAAGCAGGCCTTTAAAGAAGATAAAAATGCTGTGGCACCTTAAAGACTAACTGCTCTATTTTAATGTGAGCTTGCATGGACAAGTCCCCTTCTTCGGACATGAGCAATCCTTCCTGGAAGGAGACCTGAATTCTTGGTGCCACATCATCAGCTACTTGTGCCCAGGAAACAATTAGTCTCTTTTGTTTGGGGGCCATGTATAACTGTATAAATATCTGCCATGCAGTCCTACCCTCATGTCTGAAGAAGTGGATTTGTCCAGGGAAGCACACGTCAAAATATAGCAGACGATCTCTTCTAAAGCAGGGCTCTGCTCTAGAAATCAGGTCCAGGAAGCGTCAGGCATTTGGGGGAAGGGGAAGCTTGCCACTAGAACAGTTCGACCATTTGCAGCTACCTGGCTGTTCTAGCCAGGATGGCTAGGAACCTGGTGCTGCGGCTTCTTTAATTTTCCCAACTGCACTAGTGTCTACGTGATCTGGCAGTTTGGCTAAATCACAGTAAAACAATTTGGAAGGCCAAAATAATAGATCACATTATTTGGAAATCCAAACGTGGAAAAACCCTCCACAGATGAAATGGATTCCATTTTCTGGATCCAAGCTATGACGTGGTCTAAAGGTCACTAGCAGTCAAAAGGTCTGATTTATAAGAACCCAAACCTCGTCAATCAGTTGCTAGACAGCTCAGCTTTAAAGGCATTTAGCCTCAGTTCTCAGGGGAAACAACAACACATTCATACTGCTTGGGAGACAAAAGTTTGTATACAGAAGGCAAGCAATTAATGAACAATATAAGGGAAGCGAGTAAAGAATCTGTACCTTTATTTTGAGGGAAGACGCACTTTGCAGGATACTGGATCACAGCTCTGCCCAGCTTGCCATTCCAGCTCTGCAAAGCCTACAAGCAGGATTTCCAAGGATTAGAAATACACCCTTTTGTTTGAGTTCAGGAAAAGCTTGTTCAACACTTGCCCAAATGTGCTTAAGTGTTATTCAGTGGAAAGACTTTCTGATCTCTCTCTCTCTCTCTCTCTCTCTCTCTCTCTGCGTGTGTGTTTTCTTTCCTGCCATCCACATTGTCCCGCTGGTCTAGGTAATTACCACCTCTCTCAGACTTTTTAGGAATCCTTCAGACAATGGTGCCATTCAGGCGAGCCTTTCATTTACACACCATCTTTGGCTTCAACTCTCTGACTGTTTTAGACAAGGCTTTCCCAACACCAAACGCTCTTAAGTCCAAAATCTGCAACGTGCATGTCAGCGCACCCATCAATGAGGTACGAAGCAGGATGCTACGTGTTACACTGGGCCGGTGTAATTCTAAATGGCATTCCCACCTCACCAAATGTTGTGCGCAGCCCTCAAAAGACAGCACACCTGCCGTTATGAACCTTCCCTTCTTGGGTGCAACGAATGCAGATTTCACGGCGCTTTCGAGGGCAGACACTATTCACCTAACAGGCCTCATCAGTATTCCGGGCAACCAGGCAGCACACAGAAGAGTGTGACCCAGAATCCTCTACATTGGCTTTCAAACTTAGGGACCTCTTGGGACACACCGTTCCACATCAATCATCTGCCAAAAAAACAACCCTTTACCCGCATGTTGGCAGAGAATTAGGGGATGTTATTTTAGGGCAAGCACCATTCGCACAAGTTATAGACAAACTTACTAGACAAAGTCTAAAGAGCAGACACTGAACAGAATGAGAGTGGACACTGCACACAAGAATAAAAGGCAGTCAATAATTTTTTTCTGGGAACTTTGATCACCGCGAAGTTAATTTTTTTCTGGGAACTTTGATCACCGCCACCACTACTGAGGAAACCCAGAATTCCCTTGAGTGCAGTTTCAAAATCTCCTACTCTGCTCTATGACATATGTGGCCCTCCTAATCAGTCTATGAATTAAACAAAACAACTACTGGTTGTTGTTCTGGGTTTTTCGGGCTCCTCTTTGGCCGTGTCGTGGTCCTCCTAATCAGTCTATGAATTGAACAAAACAACTACTGTTTGGTTGTGGTGGGTTTTTCGGGCTCTTTGACCGTGTTCTGAAGGTTGATCTTCCTAACGTTTCGCCAGTTTCTGTGGCCATGGGCATCTTCAGAGGACAGCACTCTGTGCTCTGGTGTAGTTGGCTTGGGAGTGCAGTATTTATGGCTGTGAGATGGGCTTTTGTCTTTTTCTGTACTCGAAAACTGATGCATTAAGACAGTACTGTAACTGAAACTCGAATGCAGATTTTCAAAGTGGGATGTTTCTGTTTAATATTTAAGATAGTACAGTATCTTGCTGAGACTCAAAGGTTTCCTTAACTCACATAAGCACCGTTCCCTGTGACCACACTTCCTGATGACAAATATGAGAAAAATTACTGTATTTTCATGGCACCCACGTCTATTTTATCCATTTTTACTTTGGTATGCCTGGTTCATCTGCAGTTTACCCTTCTGACTTCTCCTTGATTGCCTGAGTACCTCTCTCTCCCTCCTTTTAGGAGCCAATGACTCAAACATTCCATTCACTTATTTATTGCAATACAGAAATGCTGCAGCCCAGACTTACAGACCAATATCAGAAGAGGCAGAATCACTTCCATTATTTGTTTGCTCACAGACCAGGACTCCAACACAGTTTTTCTAATGATAAAACAATATAATCCAAACAAGGGTGTCCCAACGATAAGGCTCCTAGAATTATGGACCAAATACCTATTAGATGACCAGCTACTGACGTCAGGAGTCACTGCTGGGATGATGAAGAATACAGAAACATCGTCCCCCAGAGAGAACACAAGACACGTCATTCCAGTCTCGTGTGTTTCCTACATTCATGCCTTCCATGGCCTCTGAAATCAAAGCAAGAAACCCTACGTAATACTTCTGGAGCCCGAGGATGGGTCAACAAGTTCTGAGTGGCTAAACAAGTCACCCTTTCCCCCCCTGGGGAACAACAACTTGACCAAAACAAGTCAGAGAAAAACGGAAGCAACCCGTGGTTTCCTTCCTGGCTGAGAAAGGGTGGGAGCCCTCCCCTCTCTCTCTGGCTCTACCGGCCTCTTCGACCACAATGCTACCATGGAGGCAATCCAGAGCACCTCCACCATCCTGCTCTGGATGAGAACCGGGACAGGGGCTGTGGAGTTCTCTCACTGCCCGCCCAACGGGCCAACCAGGGAGCAACCAGGTCCCAAGGGAGCAAGCCTGCACCTTCTCTCTCCAGCGTGGGGGTCAGAAAGGGGACACAAAAAGAGCTAAAACAAACAGCTGGCTTGCGCCCTTCTTTGGAGTGAGAGATCCTCTGCCTTCTCCCCCTACAGCTGCCGGGGGCCGAGAGGATGCCTCTGACGGACCTCTCAGAGTCACTGGGAGAGGCACGCCATTCTCCCACGGCCTCTCTAAACCAATTAGAGATTCAGCTGCACCTAAAGGTTTTATCTCTGTTTACTAAACACACAAGCGAAGGCGTAGGCTCACCCCCCCAACCCTCCTTCCAGTATTTCCCATCAACACTGGCAAGAGAAAAAGAGGGCTTTCTCGACAGAACAGTTTCCTCTATTAAGTGCAGAAAAGTCACTTTTTGGGGTGTATGTGTGTGTTTGTGTGTCATCTCCCAAAATTCTTTCTGGAAGTGACAGCCCTAAAAAGTCATTCTTCCAAGCGCTGTATCTGCAGAGACTCTCCCCACACCATTTCAAACCAGGCAAAATTGACACACACCCCGAGGAGGCAAGTACCCAGCTCATCTTTGGCAACGGAAGGCACTTCCTTTGATCGCAGGCGCTGTGGCCTCCACACTCTGGAGCGAGCTGCGCGCCGGGCCTTTCCCCCTCCCTCCTTTTTAAAAGACTCTCGAAAACACGGCTCTTCAGAGAGGCCTTTCGTAACATCCCTGCTTGATTTCATACGATGGGTTCCGTCTTTCAGCTAGAATTCATGCCTCCTGTGATTGTGGCACTGCTTTAACGTTTTATGAACACTTTGCTGTTGATTAGCTCCGTCGCTTTCGGTCTCTGGCTCCATAACCAGAGGTTGGGAGATCGATTCCCCCACAAGGTCTCCTTGGCAGGAGCTGGACTCCTTCATCCCAAGGGTCCCTTCCAGCTATTGCTTTCATTTATGACTCTTACCACTCTTGGGGTGTCAATACACTGGAAACCACCCAGAACAGCACATTGCATGAATAGGAAGGTACTGTATACAAATTAAATCAATCCATAAACAAACAAACAAACAAAGAGGAAGTTTGGCATGGCATGAATAGGGAGGTATCGTATACAAACTAAATCAATCCATCAATAAACAAACAAAGAGGAAGTTTGAGGCCCAGTCCCTTGGCCAAACCGAGCTTTTGCCTGGATCGACGGGGTGACCATTCAAGTGGACCAAGCCGGGGGGGGGAATGGTTGCAGGTGAGGAAACCCCTGGTCCCAACCCCCCCATCAGACCATGACCCCGGGGGAGGGGGGAGAAGGAGGCCTTGCTTACAACTCGGGAGGGCAGAGAGGTG